ATATATATATATATATATATATTATGCATCATATAGATAAATAAACTAATCTATAAGTTTAACAAATTTTTTTATAAATCTAAATCTAACTTTTTATAAAAATAAATAAGCTTTTATAAAAATTTAAATTTAACTTTTTTATTAAATATGTCAAATCAATCTTAGATTTTATATCTTTATTTAAGGTCCGACCTCAACCCTAACAAGAGTCATCATAAGAAGCTTTACCATTCCGTAACAAATTTACGATTTATTACCTACTCATCAACTATATTACTGGCACACTAATGGATGAAGTTCTCTCAGACGCATGGATGTCCTCCCCCGGCCATTCTCCTAGGTCCCTTTCTTGACCTGAATTATGGGCACTTGCCTTTTGGGTTTTGGTTCTCCACGGAACCGTCCCTATAGAGAGTTGTTCCCAAAATTGAAGCTGCTCCACTTGTGGCAAATTGGGTATTGGAAGTTGAAGTCAAGAGCCACAATTACAAGGCTTAAGGATTGCCCCAATCTAAAAGAAGGATTTGTGTTCGGGCGGAAGGAAATTACAGAGGGAAGCCAAAACCGCTAAAGAACGAATTCAACTCCAGCATGCTAAGCTTCTAGCCTATCATCCCAAGTTATCTTTGATACAATTGATTTATGGTGATGCAAGGGGCTATAGTACTGACTGCTCCTCACATGAAATTTAACCTGGGAAACTTTCTTTTTGAATGGCATTGTAAGGAGTTTATTTTTTACACCAAGAATGTATCTCAACCAATAACCAAAATGAAAATCGAAGATGAAGATGTGAATTCCAATGAAACTCCAGCAATTCATGAATCTTTTCTCAAAATACCAGATCTAAGGGGTGTACAGCTGAGAGATGATCATCATGCACCGCTACACTCGGATGTACATGAATACAGAGATGATGTTGAGTTTATGCCGCCACTTTGAAATACGTTGAATAGGCGGCAAAAAAATTGGTGACTTAATTGTGATAATAATCAAAAGAAACTTGTACACAACAACCTAGGGAGGTAACAAACGAGATTGTTCATCATCGTGTAGAATTAATCCATCATTCTAGTTCTTGGGCTTATTTCTTTTTCCTCGCCTACCTTACTTTTATACATACAAATGCGAGATTAATATCCAATTTTTGAGTTGGGAATAACGATTCTACACACTCGGATTGTGCCCGTCATTGCACACTATGTTTCGAGAGACGGATTGATCATCTTTCTCATTGCCCCAGAAAGAGACGAGTTGCAGCACAGGGGAAAGACAACAGTATTGATTCATATTTCGCATGTTCTGCGAAAAAGAACAAAATTCACAAATAATTTTCACAACATCAGCCGATAATACAATGTAACAACTCTACCCAACGTTTTCTATGTACAAAAGATCTTGCTTCAGCACATGGAGTACTCGATGTCCACCAAACGAGAAAGAATCTCCTCACAACTTGGCCGCTCATGAGATTCTGCCCAACAGTCTGCAGACAAAAAAAAAACGAAGCAATTAAGTTAAAGCAGTTCGTTGCAAGTTCTGACATCCAAAGGAATAAAGGAAAGTTGCAGGACCTGAAATCAGCCTGCCTAGAGGGCCTTCTGGTATCTCCAATCTGGAACCCTCATTTGCAACGGAATAAACCACCTGATCAATGGAAAATTTTCAATAAAGAACATGGCTGAAATAGAAACCATCACGCAACATGAACAGATAATATGTTGAAATACCCTCTCAGGTGGTATGCCTTCCCATGGTCTGCTCAAGGTGCAAAGTTCCCACATTATCACCCCAAGGCTAAAGATATCACATTTTTCTGTGAATGGTTCATTTCGAATAAGCTCAGGAGCCATCCATTCTGGAGTTCCAGCCGAGGATGAATCTTTCATAGGAGTATCTGTCATTATTCTTGAAAGCCCAAAATCACATACTTTCACAGTCCAATGCTTATTCACCAGACAATTTGCACTTTTCAAATCACGGTGAACAACCTTCATTCGGTGTATGCACATCAAACCCCTACACACAAGCAAGTTGTTCTCGTCAATATTGAGAAACCGTCTAATTTTTCCAGCATCATGGAACAAATTAACATTTGAAATGGGGTAATACCAATGTTCAAAAGGCTTATAACTGAATCGGGTATTCATCTAAGGTACTTAGTGTTCATCATTCATTCGTTAAATCATTATCAAAACAGGTAACAAATTAACAATAAATGTATTTTTTTAAGATGTAATAAATAATAAAATAAAATAATCATTCATAATTAATTGTGACCAAATCCACAGAAAATAAAGAATGCAACATTATTAACAAAAAATGACAGCTATTTCTCAAGTAAAAGTAAATGGGCATGGAAATTTTTGATTTATTGGAAGACAACGACATCATAATTAATGTGCAACACCCGTTCAGCAATAAATGGCAATTAAAACAGATAAGATTCTAAAAAATAAAGGGCTGCTCATGGATCTATTTTTTTCAAAACTAAATCGAATCCATCCCATTATATAAAAATGATTTGATTAATTGCACCAGTTTTTATAAAGTGGATCAATTTGATTTCTATTAAAAAACGGATAGGATTTTTTTTAATTTGGATAGGTTCGGTGTAGTTTAGTTATTCACTTTATAGTTTATACTATATATGGCTCTGTTTTTTCATAAAACTGAAAATAACTGATTTCACTTTATAAAGAATATAGATGGGTTAACCGAACTATTTCTGCAAAAGAATCGGATTGGGTTTTTCTCAAAACAAAATGGTTTTTATTATCTGGATTGGTTCAGTTTTAGATTGATTCAATTCGGTTTGGATTCTTCGCACACTTTTAAAAAGTATGAATAACCAGAATACTTACTTGCATATGTCACGTAACATCCTTAGTCTTCTCCGCCAATTAAGCTTTTTCTTTTGACCACTCAAATGTATCAAGTAATACAATGATCCCAACTCCATATATTCTGTAACCATTGACAAGCGTGGAGGCTTTGTGCATGCACCGAGAAACAAGATAACTGCATAAAATTTCATTACTAGATAAACAACAGTTGAATTCAAAGGAAAAAAGCTACATGAAATTTCTCATACAAAGTAGGCATAACTTTATTCTCATTCTTTTTGAGTAAGGAAGACTTTATTGAAATAAATACTTATAATAAAAGAGAACAATTCAGAGTCATTTCTATTGGATACCATATCTAGAAAACAAAATGTTCAAGAACAATGGGAAAGTCATAACTACAGAAGTAAATAGTAAGGATCTTGGAGAATACCGTTGGGATGTCGGAGCCGGCTGGGGGAAACCAAATACCAAAATTCAAAGAGAAAGAGTCAGAAAATGTTAGATAGAACAGAAAAACTGCTAACAAACAGCATATGAATGACAAGATACCTCAGAATAGATATCTCATTGCAAAAATCTTCCATATTTTCAGCAGTTAAATCTTGCTCTAGAAAAACCTTGATTGCAACATCTGTGCCATTCCATATGCCACGGAAAACTTCTCCAAAGAAACCTGACAAAGAACAATAGATCAATGGTCAAGCAACTATTTCTTTACAAGATCATCTGTCAAGAACATTCCCTTGAAACAGTAATTGACCATAAACTTCAAACATGCCCAAGACAATTTTACTTTTCTAAAGTTGAATAGCATTTCCACTTAAAAATTGTATTACATATACACTATTACACTCCAACTAAAAAAATAAACTCCATAATAAAGCAAATCAACTCAAGATATTCCCCTCTTCTACCTACACAGAAACTTAAAATTAATTGTTTCAAGCTAAATTAAACCCCAAGGGAACCAAACATACAAAAGAGCTTGTTCCAAAGGTTTTGTAACCCAAGGCAATCAGATGCCTCAACCATCATTCTTCACCACACCTCTTCTTGTTACACTACTTTTATAAACTTGCCAATCAGCAAAGAAACTTGCCAGTTTTGTAATTTAAGTGACATTTTGTTACAGGAATGTATGAACATTAGAAAGTGATATAAGAATAAAAATTTCCCATATTTAGTAAATAGAATAAAAATATTTCCCGAGTATAAAAGGGTATTGAAAATGTCAATTTGTGAATAGGTGAGAACAAATTTCCACCAACACCAGTGGGAATAAAATTTTCTGTGCTAAAAGACTATAAAGTTATAAATTTTCCCATGGAAATTGCCAGTATACGTATCATTACTAGGAAAATTGAATATTAATCATACACATTCTATAACATTTCCCATAAATCCTATTGCTAGGAATGTCGTTTCAAGGAAAGTGTTTTAGTTGAGAATGAAAATATATCAAACACCACCTAATGAGATCCACATTCCTGGACAAGGACAAACACAAGACTTGAAATTGATATAAAAGAAGAAAAGAAAAGAACCATCCATTTCTTTCAAGTGGAAGAACAATATTTAAGGCTCTCAGACACCAGTTTTTTACCATTGGCTGTCAGAGATCTGGATCAGATCAGTCACTAAAACACAAACATACAGACACATCTGATCAAATCTGTCACAACCCAACACAGAAATATAGAAATCCACAGCATATGAATGATTTAAAATTATTATGTGTGCAGATCATAAATCGTGCAATTTTAATAACTGAGGTAATACTTACCAATCCCTACCCGAGTTCCAAACGTCA